CCCCAAAACCCCAAAACCCCAAAACCCCTCTAATATTCCTAAAATTGAAATCTATTAATATTTCGTATTAAGCTCATTGACCTGGGTTGTGTACACGCTGTTGTCGTTCACATCCTGAGTTTCTCTCAATGAATTTATAGACTTGTTCACTTGGAGAAAGGAGTTCTCGTTATCCGTGTTGATATCATAAACCCTGCTTGGTGAATATGATTCTAAATTCTTATCCTTTGCCAGCTTATTTGCTCTTGAGAACCTATGAAATGCATGTTTAAACAAAGTAATCATAGCTTACTTTAGGTTAGACTTTATTTGGTTCTTAGTTCTGAACTTATGAGCGCTCTTTGGCCGGAACTTGCCTGAGAAAACCTTGATTCCAACATCGTATTCAACCATACTGCGGTCTTCAAGATGAGGTCTTCCTTTCTTTAAGATTCCTGGAAACTTTTGTGAGCTGAGACCTTTAATATTATTTTGCTTCTTTAGATTTGTCTTATTCTGGTCATTACCTCAGGATAAGCAAGATGCGCTCTTCGTGCAATCACTATGAATTTTCTTGATATCAACTACATATTTCCGAATGGATCCGAACGAATTAGCGATGTACTGCATATCCTGGCCTAAGTTATGTAGAGTGTCTTCTCACTCTTCGATCCTCATGCTGTTCTCGTCATGCATGGTATTAGCCTGAGTAACAGATACCTTCTCATTAAGTCTCTTCATGAGTTGGTGGACATTAAGGTCTTGTCTCATTTTGACCAATTTCTGGTCCCAGTATCTCTCCATATCACGTATTGTCTTATCAAGATGGGATGTTTCCTTCTTGACTCACTCCTTGATACGTTCTTTCTCCTCTTCAGAGCCTATCATATTCATGATCTAGAGGGATTTTAGGTACAAAACTTACTTCAGAGCGGTCCATTTTCTTGGAAATTGTCTTATAGAAATCATCATTCCCAATCTTGGTCTCAATGATCTTATGCATTTTCTGCATTTCTTTATCAGTGGTTGCAAGCTTGATAGAGCAGCTGTTCAGTAAGTCCTGAGCTGCAGAAGCCATCTGAGCTGCATTAGAAAGATCTTCATTCTCTTTCACAATGTTCGCCAAGGTTTTAGCCACTTCTGTGACCCTCTTGTTGAACTCGAGGATCGACTTCTTGAAGTCAGTCAGTTGGTCATCGTATTCGCTATGGAATTCATTTATCTTTTTCTCTAAGTGCTGAATATGTTTATGGCTAGCATCGTAATCCGATTTGTAAGCAAATAATCTCTCACGTTCAAGAGTTTTATTTCCGATCCTCGCTTTGTTGTTTATCGAGAGAGTCATCCTTTGCTGTCAGCTCTTTGTACATAGTATCCATTCTGAGTATATTCCTGTCGCTTGTTCTCTCAATTACTTTGTTAAGCCTGTCATCTCTGGCTCTCAACATATTGTCAAGATAGCCTTCACTTACTCTCTGCTTGAGTAAAACCTCTCAGTCACGTATCTTTCACACAGTCTTCACCTCACTTTCTGCTACCCTCTGCTGTATCTCACCCACCTTCTCATCAGCATAGCCTCTGACCTGACTCGTCTCTTCATAAACCTGCTCTGTTCACTTCTGAAGCTTAGAGTCTACAGACTCTGACAGCTCAAGAGTGGAGAGTCTCCACTCTTGTTGAGTCACTGCTTGGAGAATCTGGCTTTCGAGGGAATTTAGCCGGTGATGGTGGGTAGAGAGGGTGTCTTTGGTAAGGAGTAAGTCGTCAAGGTCTTCTCTGAGAGTGGGAAAAGTGGATTTTGAGAGTTTGGCTGGGTCAGAAGGGTGAGGTTGGTTTTTGGAGATTTGGAATTTGAAAATTTTGAAATTTTTAAAGGAAAAATTGGGAAATTTGAAGATTTTTGTGGTATGAAAGAAGTATAATATTTGTGGAGATAATGTGATTTGGTTGAGAATAAGACCAGTCAGGATAATTGCCATAAAAAACAATCAGTAGTTTATGCTCAAACAGAAGAAACTATCTTTTGATACCAACTTACCTGAAAGTTCTGTCATAATTTGCTCTATCTGAGTTCAGTAACCATTCAAATAATCTTTTGCAGAAGGATTCATTGGTATAGCTGCTCTGTAATTCATTTTTGAAAGCTTTTCATAAGGAGATTTAACCAACTCCTTCACTAGATTCTTCTGAGCGTTGAGCTCAGAATTTAATGTTTCTATTGAATAACTTAGCTCACTAATTGCTGACTTAAAAGCGTCCGTATTGAGCTCTATATCAATCAAAGAGCCTTTATTCGTCTTTGGAGCAGACTGAAGCGCCTTCGAAGACGCTTGCGTCTTCGAAGGCATTCTTCGTGCTGGCAAAGAATTCACAGGATTTGGATGCTGAGACTGTAACATTTTAAACAGTAAATCCACCTATAAATCAAGGAATTAATGTACATATTGCCACATCTGCTTCTGAGAGTAATATCCTCAGTGGAACTGAGGATTTAATCCTCTCAGCGAAGGATATATGAAGTTATAGCATGGCTTGGTATAGCCAAGCTGCTGTAAGTTATTCATTTGAATTATTTAAGTTTCTATAAATTATTAAGAAATAGGGGTTTTGGGGTTTTGGGGTTTTGGGG